GCTAAGACCGCTCCTAACAAACAGCAGGGAAGCTAATTAGTGGCCATCTCGCGGGGCGGAGGTTGCCAGATCATGAAAAGCCCCAGTTTAAAGCGCTTCAGATTTCTGCAGTGAGAGCCGGCAGTAATGGACTTTTCATAATAGGACATATTAATGGAGTTCCCTGCAATATGACGATAGATACAGGAGCCAACGTTACCATCATCCGAAAAGATTTGGCTCAACAACTGGGAAGCAAACTTATCTGGACGCCGCCCTGCGTTACCCTACAGACTGTGTCCGGTGAGAAGATCAACATCGATGGAAAAGTAAATGCTAACATCACGTTTGGAAGTGCCGCTTACCATCACACGGCATATGTAGCAGAGATCACTGATTCTTGCATACTCGGATTGGACTTTCTAAGGAAATACAATTTTTCCTTGGACTTTAAAAATAACGAATTGCATTCTACATCTGAGGACATAGCGTTATTTGGAGTCAATGATGAAGTTAAATCTGTCCATAAAATCATAGCACAAGACAATATCACAATACCGGCAAGAACAGAAATTTTACTTCCTGGATCCATAGCCGAAAACAGAAATTTCCGCTACGGCGTCATAGAATATCCCAATAACTGTAATAGCCCAAAAGGAGTACTAGTAGCCTCAACACTCGTCGACCTATCCAGAACGGTTATCCCGGTGAGAGTCGCCAATGTAACTGAGAAGGGGAGAATTATTAAGAAAGGTGAAGTGGTTGCAGCATGTACTCCAGTAACCACCGTTGAAAGAAAGAGTAACATCCAAGAATCCGTGTCCTCAGAGAGAATTACATCGGAGTTATTGCAGAATGCGCAATTAAACGATGAAGAGAAGAATGCTGCCGATCGCGTTATTAAAGATCTTCAAGTTGTTTTTCCCGCTCGTCTTCTGACGTGGGTCGAACTAGTTTGACACAACATAGAATAGATACCGGCGATCATCCCCCGATCAAGCAACATCCAAGGCGTCTGCCGTTTGCTAAACAGGAAGAGGTGCGAACACTGTTAAAAGATATGGAAGAAGGCGATGTCATCGAGCCTTCAACAAGTCCATGGGCATCTCCCATCGTTCTCGTCAGAAAGAAAGACGGCTCAACAAGATTTTGCGTTGACTATCGCCGGTTGAATGAGGTTACGAAGAAAGACAGTTACCCTCTTCCTAGAATTGACGACATTCTAGACACTCTTTCTGGAAGCAAGTGGTTCTCAACGCTTGATTTAAAGAGTGGGTATTGGCAGGTAGAAATACACCTTCATGACCGAGAAAAGACGGCATTTACTACGGGACAAGGGCTTTGGCAATTCAAGGTGATGCCGTTTGGACTGTGTAATGCGCCGGCAACATTCGAACGCCTCATGGAGACTGTTTTGAAAGGACTTTCCTATGAAGCCTGTCTGATATACCTGGACGATATCATCATCGTCGGAAAGAGTTTTGAAGAGCATCTAGAAAATCTTAGAAAGGTGCTTCAGAAACTGAAAGAAGCCAATCTAAAGCTGAGTCCCGCTAAATGCAAATTGTTCCGAAAGGAAGTGACTTACCTGGGACATGTCATCTCTGCAGAAGGTGTGCGCACGGATCCTGAAAAGGTATCAGCGGTTAAATCCTGGAAACGTCCCGAAAATGTCCATCAGCTGAGAAGCTTTCCTAGGGCTTTGCACCTACTATAGGAGATTCGTGAAGGACTTTTCTTCCATCGCAAGACCCCTTCACAAGCTGACAGAGAGCAACCAAAAGTTCTTGTGGACAAAAGAATGCGACGATGCATTTAACAACTTAAAGGAGGCTTTAACATCTGCTCCAATCCTGACGTATCCTCAGCACGACCGACCATTTATTCTCGACACCGACGCGAGCAATGAAAGTGTCGGTGCTGTTTTGTCCCAAGAAACAGACGGCCAAGAACGTGTAGTGGCGTACTGGAGCAAGTGCCTGTCTAAACCGGAGAGGAATTATTATTGTGTCACCAGGAAAGAGTTGCTCGCCATAGTCAAAGCTGTAGAACAGTTCCATCACTATCTATACGGCAGAAAATTTCTGCTCCGCACCGATCATGCATCATTGACCTGGCTTTTAAATTTCAAGAATCCTGAGGGTCAAATAGCCAGGTGGATACAGAGACTCCAAGAATATGACATCACTATCCGTCATCGTAAGGGATCATCACACGGAAACGCCGACGCCCTGTCTAGAAGACCTTGCCAAGAAAACTGTCGATATTGTTCCAGGGTGGAAGCGAAATACGAGCTGCTGACTCCGGTCGCAAGACAAATTACAACATCAACATCGGCTGATCGAGAACCGTGGAGTGATGATGAAGTCAGGAAAGACCAGCTGGAAGACCGCGACATTAAACCCATAATTGATCTAATGGAGTCGTCAAACAGAAAACCTACCTGGCAGGACATTTCTATCTGTAGTCCTACAACCAAACAATATTGGGCACTCTGGGATTCACTTCACATTCGAAACGGCGTCTTATACCGGAAATTCGAATCGGATGATGGGAAGACGTTCCGATGGCAGCTGATACTTCCAAGATCCCGCAATTCCTGATGTCCTTAAAGAACTACATAACAGCCCTACGGGAGGTCACTTTGGAATAATGAAGACCTTACAGAGAGTTCGTGAGCGCTTTTACTGGAATAATGCAAAGGATGACGTGCAAAAGTGGTGCCGATCTTGCGATGCCTGTGCAGGTCGGAAAGGACCTAAGAGACGCAGCCGAGGCAAGCTGCAACGTTACAACGTAGGGGCGCCTTTTGAACGAATCGCCTTTGACATCCTGGGACCTCTGCCACGAACTGCTGATGGCAACAAATACATACTCGTTGTCGTTGATTACTTCACCAAGTGGCCTGAAGCTTATCCTATTCCTGATCAAGAGGCAGTCACAGTATGAGGTAATGTACAGCACTGGATTTCCAGGTTCGGAGTGCCTCTCTTACATTCGATCAGGGAAGGAATTTTGCCTCGGCAGTAATCAAAGAACTTGCAAACTTGGCATTGACAAAACTCAAACGACGCCATTGCATCCCCAGTCGGACGGCATGGTAGAGAGGTTCAATCGAACCATCCTTAATAACCTCTCATTAGTGGTTTCCAGAAACCAGCAGGACTGGGACAAGAAATTATCGCTGTTTTTACTGGCTTACCGCAGTGCTGTCCACGAGACTACCGGCTATTCTCCATCACAGATGCTCTTCGGTCGTGACCTTCCTCTGCCTTGTGATCTATTGTTTGGCCGCCCTCCAGATGCTCCTTCATCGTCTGAGGAATATATTCAAGATCTCCAGGACCGGTTTGAAGTGATGCACAACTTTGCACGAGAGCGAGTCAACTTGGCGACGGAGAAGATGAAGACCCGCTACGACACAAGAACTACTGAACATCAGTTCCACGAAGGAGACAAGGTGTGGTTGTGGAATCCGACTCGACGGAAAGGACTTTGTCCGAAATTACAGTCACCTTGGTGATGGCCCTTATACAGTCCTAAAAAGGCTGAATGACGTCGTGGTTCGGATTCGTAAGTCTTGGAACTCTAAACCTAAAGTCGTTCATTACGACAGGTTAGCATTACTATGGCCATAGTACGTAATGTAAATAATTGTAAATAATATCAGACCATGGTCCTTTTTTTTAAATGGTGATTTGATTTGATTTGTATTTAGTATTTGATTTGTATTCGTATTTGATTTGTATTAGTATTTGATTTGTATTTAGTATTTAGTATTAGGATTGTTTGATTTTTTTAGTTTATTGCATTTATTGTTTTGTTATTATTGATTATTTGTTTAATTGTTTGTTAATGTATTTATGCCTCAGTTGCATTTATGCCACAGTTGTAAGTTTAGCTTCCTGTCCAGGGATTGTACTGCCCGGGACGGCAGTCCTGGGGGAGGGGGCAGTGTTACGAATTTGGTATTTAAAAAGCTAATGTTAGTTTGAATTACAATTAAATGATTTTATTTCTCGCGCAGTGCAGCGCGTGACGAATATTAAAAGAAAGCTAAGCCGTAAAATTGAAATACAAGAGCGCGTGCATTAAATAAATAAATATCTCTTTTTGATTTCGAGAAAGTACTGGAAAATTCTAGCGCGTGATTTTAAAATCTTATAAAAGGAGAAAACATCTCAGTTTTGTAGTAGTTTGCTTAGTTTGTTGTTGTTTAGAAAACTGCTCTTGTTGATTGTAGCGAATTCGCGGATTAGCGTTCTTTAGCTGTTTTAATTGCGTTCTATTGGAACATTTGAGTAGTTAAAAGATAACTACTGTGAGATTTGTAATACTGCGTGATAATTTGAGAAAAAATTTAAGCATTTTTGTCGTGATAATAATAAATTTTTGTTCATTTTTCATCGGACTTGTGCATTCATTTCATAACGAACCCGTACGCACGCAACAATATTAAATATGAGTAAAATAAAATTTTATTAAGCTCTTAAAATAAAAGTTACATGTAATTGATTGTATCGACGTGGAATCTTATTCATTGTAATTTTCGCGGTTAATAGCTGGAATTTCGATGTAAGCAAATTTATACGTCTCAGCAAGAAGGCCTGCCAGGTTTGTTTTTATAAACAGCTCAGATAATAATTGAAATATAAGGAACTGGCGATAATAATGGTGACAGTTCCTCATAGAAAGCAAATGCTGAAATCTCTATTGTCTGCTGATTCGTGTACTGCACTCTTTTTCAGAGTATCTTGCAAGCTGACATATTCTGCATGTTTAGTCTTTCTTTGATCCATTTATCGTGTGGCATATAACTACACTTCTGTTCATTGACAAAAGTGTTCTGTGGCCTTTTTTTATCAGCTCATTTCTTAACCCTTTTACAGGACATATATGTCCCACTTAAAGGTTAAAAAGTACTTAGAATCTGCTGAATGTTAGGGATCATCTTCCAATAGATGGAAAAGGAAGACGTCGCAGTGTTCGTTATACACAGATAAGCGTAGCGAAAAGAACAAATGAGTTGCCCAATGTGTGATGTTGGGTTATGCAAAGAATGCTGTATACACTGTACCATTTTGGCTGGATGTCCTCCGACCGACATTTTAGCTGAAAAAGAATATACTAGCATTCAATTAAAAGCTGGTAATACAACTGTCGATTGTTTCAGTGAGATCTTCTTAGCTAGAGATTTTTACTTTCAGAAAGGTTTAGACATTCATCCAGCTTTGTTGAAACGGCATAAAGGCCTCCCGAATATGACAGGCTACACGGTTTTTACAGATGGATCTAAATTAAATGGTTATGTGGGGGCAGCCTTTTGTGTGTTCTCAGATGAGAAACTAAGCTTACAGAGGAAATATAGACTTTCTGACAATGCTTCTGACTATCAGGCAGAGTTAGTGACCCTGCGAGAGGCCTTATATTGGCTTATTTCTAATTCTGCGCTAGATCCTGTAGAAATCTATAGTGATAGCGAAAGCGCAATTGTTTTCAGTTACGGATGTTTGTCCAAATAACGATCTAATTAAACAGATAAAACCATCTAATGCTAATTTTTCTTAGCGCTTTCAGAGATATTAAACTCTTTTGGACGAAGCGTCATATTGGTACCATTGGTAACAAGTTAGCAGATAGATTGGCAAAGACTGCCACTGAAAATCAAATTATTGATTTTGAAGTAAAGACTTCTTTTGACAGTTTGAAATCCTTGTTGAAAAAAAAAAGTTTGACCAGATTCTAAAGGAAGATTCACACATAATTTAATCTAAATTGTGAGAAAAGATGCCTAAGTGACAAGTACCTAAAACAAGCTTTAACTAATCATGGACACTTTCCCTTTTATTATAATAAGTGTTCGATTAAAAATTGTGCCTGTCCATGTGGCATGAGTTATGTCGATATTGAGCACATGTTATTTAGATGCTCTTCTATGAAAAATATTGTTCTAAGATTTATACCAGATATTGCTAAATTTGATACTCTAAAAGGATCGAGGTAAAAATACAGTGACTAAATTGAAATTGTTAAATTTCATAAAATATGTATCTGTAAATGAAATGAATTTATTATTGATGGTTTAATTTTCCTGTCTGTTTTAAGAAAAACTAGGATGTTTATGATCTGTACTTTATTTCTTTTATATGTAAGTAACAATATGTAGCATGTAGTAACATGTGTTATATTTTACAAAGTATGAAATAATGTGCTTTTGTTGATGTAGCTGGTAAATCTCACCAGCTCCTAGACTTTAAGTCCATATTTTAGTTGTTTATTCTATTTAAAGTTATTTCAGGTAGTATGGTGGTAGTTCTACTGCTTAATGGGCCTTGTTTTAGATCTCAATGTTTCTTTAATTAAATAGCTTCACTAAGCCCTGTTAAGCCTCTAATGGCGGTACAGGAAGTTTGACCAGTCATACACTTTATCATATGATGCAAAATCTATTTCATATAATAACGTTTTTCAGAATAATAGGTGTGCTTATATCAAGTCGATCGCTAGGTGTGAGACATATGTATCCCACCATTAAGTGCGACTGGTACATAGTATGTGTCCCAGCCTTTGGTTTGAAAACTGTTTGTAAAAAAATCCAAAATTCTAAATTTACATTTTGTTCACTTGGATAGAAAACTGAGTAGAAAATATTTTTTTTTAATTCGTAGTCAGAGGGTTAAAGGATTTGTACGTTAAAAGCTATTCTTGTCACTACATCTACTTCATTTTCGGTGTTACTTCCTGCACCCATTCATTGCTTCGGAGTTGTAACCGTGTGCACAATTTTTCAAATCTGTATGTTGTTACATGCTTCTTCTACATTTAACAATGCGGAAATACTTTTCATTCATTTCTGGTGCAAAGTTTAATGTGAGTATCAAAGTGGGACGAGGTAATTCGCGAACTCAATCAAGGAGGTTGTATATAAATTATTTCCCTCATTTAAAAATTATCTAAATCCTAAAACGTCACAAATACCTTCATAAAGCCGACTGTAAAACTAACTTTCGCCATACTTTAGGCTATGCATTTATCGATATGGTTGCTTGCAAAGATTCACCAACATTTTCATCTCAGTCAGATTTCTGATATTAAACTCTATATGAATTTCGCGTCCATCTAATCTATTTTTCTGCTGAATCTATCAAATTTAATTTTGGCAATAAGTGCCTCACAAAGATGAATGCGATACAGTCTTTCAAAAACGTAGTTTTACTGAATTATTTACGTTATGGTGTAGGTATATATAAAAAAATTATGTTCTTTAACTATGAATTACGCTTCACACGAGGAGAGAATTTGTATTACATTTTGCTAAAATTTAAAAACATTTGTAAACGTTATATTAATATATCGTTGCTTTTCTCTAAATAGGAATAAAGCTCAATAGTATTGTCCGATCGAAAACAATATTTTCGAATCGCATTTTAGGGATTCCGAATGTAAATAAAAATAAGCTAATTGTGTAGCTCTTGTACTTTGATTTATATTATACTAGAATGCAACAATAATAGTGTGTTTTCGCTGTTGTCAAAGTCCCCAAAGCGGGTTTCTCATGTTTGTGGTATTATGAACGAAGCTGAAATTCAAAAAACTTCGTCAACAATTTTCTAATCCTTTAATAAAATGAATAAACTAATGAAATTACGAGATGTACATTTTGCAGGTGCATCCATGACAAAGGGATTAATGCAATTGGATGGCGCTCAGATTTTAAAGGGTTTCCTTCGCAAGTCAATTGTTGATTTATTATTATGCGTCAGTCAGTTGCTGATTTAAATTTTAAATATAAAATTAATCTGTTTTTTACAATTTTAACAAATATTTTCCTTTGTTATTCTTCATTCAATGGATATTTAACTCAAGTTAATAGTATACACATATATATCTGCACACGCATATATATAAATATATATGAAATAGCGCTAATAGCTGCTATTTAATAGCAAGTATTGAATTAACGAATTGAAATTCATTGAAATCGAAATAAATTTCATAATACTTGCGCAATTATTTCTTATTACTTAAATTATTAAAGAAATATTGATTATATTATCTCCTAATATAAATTTAGTAAGAAGTGGAGATAATACATTGATGGAATGCACCAAATTAGACAAACGCTAATAGCTGTTATTTAATTAATATCAAATATTGAATAAATAAATTGAATTTCATTGAAATCTAAATAAATTTCCCAATACTTGGGCAACAGCTGCAAAGTAATATATATATATTACTATGTAAAATACAAAATACCTACCTTTCCAGCAATAATTTGACAACAGCCTGTAACTCGTCTTTTACATTTGAGCATGCTCAACTCATATTGCTACTTTTAGTTGAGCATGCTCAACTAAAAGTACCAATAATTATCTTTACTTCCTGTAATTCTGAAAAGTGATCCGTCATCTATTGTGGCAATTATTCCTGTAATATGCGATGAAATCTTATCCCATTATCCGAACATTGCTCCGTTATGTATCTGAAATTAAATTCGCTTGATGTAAACATTTTTGCAATGTGATCAGTAATGTAATCTGTTTAACGTAATCATGCCTTACTTTAAGAGCTCTTTACTGCGCAATATCGCTCAGTTCAATCGCTCGCTCTTTGTTCGCCACTTCGCTGTCTTCGGTTTTGCTGCAGCAACAAGCTGCTGCATTCAAAAAATACATTTTTCATGCTTATCAGATATAGAACTTTCTTTAAGAACGATGCGCTGTTGCGCCGATTTGGTTTGTGTTGGATTAATTATGCATTCATCTACCATGCCAAGTTATTATAACGAGCTTATTCCAGGTTATTACACATATATATTGTTACACGTTTTCTTGTTCTTACGTACGTTCAGCAGGGTTTATATAAACTTTGGCATGTGTTCGAGAACATTCTGGGCTAAACCAGAAGGAATTCGTTTCAGAAGGTTCTCCATCCGTCTATGGCATATCGCCATTTTTGTCGCCAAATGTGGCAACCGGCCTTCCCTTGCCGTGTTATGGCAACCCTAAACCTGCTTTGCGGGGAGTTATCCTACCGCGCCTGGACTTTTCGTAACAATATGAAATTGTAGTTTTTTTGCGGAATCAGTTTTCTTTTAGTCATTGCCGAAATGTTGTAGAGATTTGAGCTCCCACACAAATATGATGTGTCGTGGAAGATAGGTTGGAGAGACTGCTATAGAAAGATGGAATTGCACGACAAATGTGCCGACTTCAACATATAATTTATCAATTTCTTACGATGTATCCTTGATTGATGTAACACTGGGGGTGTTGTAAATACCACAGAATTTCTATATACGCCGCTTACATTTTGAATAGTAGAAAAATACAACTTAGCGAAGAGTCTTGATTTAGCTGCCACGTCGAAAGAGAATGAGCAGAATGCGGCTGAAGTATTTATAGCTCTTAGATTATTTGTTTGAGTTCTGGATAGCGATTGGACAAGAGTTTTCGTAATGCAGAGGACTGCAGATAAATGACTCAAGGCGAAGCAAGATTTACTTAAGTTGAAATTAGGAGTTTAAAGAGGATATATAAAAGTGTTTACGAACGGCGAAACGTAAAAAAAAAAAAAAAAAAAAATCTTCTATCAGTAAATCTTTCATTTTTTCTGACATATTCTATTTTCGTATTAATTAATCTTCCGATTCCTTAGACACATTCTATTTCTTCCATCAATTAATCTTCCAATTACTTAGGTGGACATGCTAAACACTCACACTGAAATTGCACACATAGGAGGAAGGCAGTAATTTTTGTCTAATAGCAGGGAATAATGGCACACGATACATCAAATGTGCTATTATCCTGCGCTTAAAAGAAACTTGGGAAAAGGCATGAGACCCGTTCGACCAGATCCATGTGGTGAAGTGTCTTCATTTATCACATTTTAATTCGGGCTTCACTGTAGACATATTTTAGATTTATTTGGAGCCAGGAAGTCTGACAAATTAAACGCACTCTCCTGAGAATCTAACTATAGATTTTTTCACCTACTGGCTCAACGTGCTAACCACTTACACCTGGAGAGTAAGCACGAAGGATTGCGGTACGTCTTTACAGTCTGATGCATTAATTAACATCAGAAGCCAATTTAAGAGAATTAAAATTAAAGGGCTCATAAAATTGAGGAACAGAAAAGCTAACGGGAGCCCACATATCTCGAAAACTATTAAAATGGTTACGAATGAAAAAGTATTTTCTCTTAAGTTGTGACATCTAAAGATCAGTTAAATATAAAATCAGAAAAAGAAAGTGAGTTCCAACTTTTATTATAAATGGTTTCGTTATTCTCTCCCCGTTCCTGGCTTTTGCAAAAAAAAAAAAAAAAAAGAGACACTGCGAACGATTTTCACGGTAGAGTATCATGTTTTCTGCTTTAAAGTGAAGCTGTGGAGTTTCAGCAGTTTTTGCTCTTTCTGCTGATGGAGTGCTTTTTAAACTTTTTTAAAACGTCCAAAACCTCTC